GTAATTCTGTTCATGAACTTGCTCAGTTTGCTCTTGAACTCACATAAATTTTCAGCAATCCACACATCCTTTGCCAAGGATTTCCATGTCACTCTGGACAGCCTCCTGCTGTGCAAAGAATCACCTCCTTCTATTTTACATCTGGCCCTTACAAGTTTTATTTTATTTTATACACCTCCATTTCCTGCACCAAAAGAAACTGAACAGTAAAGATGCAGCCACCCTCCCCATGCCACCTATGATTTTGAAGCTTCCCATTTTCCTCCCCCAGTCTCTTTTACAGACTAAACAGTCCTAGATGACTTAACTGAAAGCTACTCCAAATCTCCGGTTAATCTTTCTCCTGTTCTGTGAAGACTTTAAAGTTTTACTAATATTAATTTTTGAAGTTAGGATACACTTTCTGTAACCCTATGAAAATTAGTCCAAACTTGTTCCTCCAAGTGCTTCTAACCTTACCAACTAGATCACATGTGCCCAAACAAAGCTTTGGCACCTTCCATTCTCTCTCAATCCCTATGTGGAAGACTCTGTATGGACCGTTCTTTCCCCCATGACCAGGGCAGGGCAGAGGGCTTCCTGTGCAAGGGAAATGGAAGGTGGTGGGGAAACAGGACAATTGACTGTGGGGAATAATACAGATCACAGAAAGCCAAAGGAAGCAGGAAGAGAAAACAGCCTCAGCTGGCAAGAAAATGGAAAAAGAACATGGTGAAAGAGGTGAAAAGAAATACCATGTCACAAACACGTGTCAAGGAGCCACTGGAGACAGAGAGGTGGCAAATGCAGATCAGGCAAAGAGCCAAAAAAGAAGAAACTGCAACCAAGTGGACACTGAAACAATTATTAGAACTGATAAGCGGAGACCAAGATTAGAGAAGTAAAGAAAATGAGAATATGATGAGTCTGACAAAGAAATCAGAAGTGAAAAAAAACCAAACCCACAACAAAGAAAACCCCAAACAAAACCAAAACAAACAAAAACAAAACAAACAAACAAACACAAAACAGAAAGGTGACATTTGGAAGAAATGAGAGAAGACTCTGTATTGATTCTGGCAACTTTAACAATTTTAAACACATTTTTAATATTAAATATTTTATCTAACTCCTGCCTACTGAACATGTAGCTTCTCCTTCCATCACTACAGTGTTACTCTGTTCAGATTACCTAATCTCTCTGCCACTCCACAATTTTCTTTTTCCACTGAGTGTTACTCTGAGTGTTGCAAGTTTTGCAATGCACTTTCTCTGAAGATTAAAAAAAAAAAAAAAAAGAGAAAAATATACAAGGAACAAATATAAAGAACTTCACTACTACTTTCTCACAATTTTCTTTGTTCACAAATCAACCACGTGTTTATGAACCACTTCTTTTTGAGGAAATAAAACCCTTCAGCCCTCCCTCTCCAGACTACAAATTTGATCTTTGCAGCAGCAACAAAATCTGGGGAAATGGTGCAATTGTTCTGGAATGAAAATTATGTGCTTTGTCCAATTACAAGTGAAGCAGGAAAGCAGGAAGGTGTGTTGCCAGGGTTGGGGTCTTTTTGTAGCTTTAGCAACAGTCTCACAAGAACAGATATTTAACAAATTTAAAAAAAAAAAGCCAAACAAAAAACTGTGTGAAAATCTCAGCTGCATCTTATTTATTTTAAGAATGCCCTGTCTTTGTGATTATGGCAAAAGGACTGAAAATGCGCAATTAATGCAATTTAACATCTCCAAAAGTAGATGGAAAATAAAATGAATCAAAAGGTGTTTTGTTCTTTGATGAAATTGTGTTTTCTAGGCCATTCTTGTTTGATTTTAATGCTTGGAGTTCACAATGTGGGAAACAGAGGAGGAAGGTAGAAGTGGGCTCTGCTGTAAGTCACAGCTTGTTTCTGGCTGCTTGCCTGCCTCATGGGCTGCACTTCCCCTGCTCTCTGCAGGCAGCACAAACCAAGGGAGCAGATTCCTTTGGAAGAAGCTGGATTCAACTCAGCCATGAGTCCTGGGCTGACAGAAGCTTCTGACAAGGCTTATGAAAAGAAAAAGGGAACAACCAAAGGAAAAGGCTCCAAAATCCATGACACTCATGATATATAAGAGCTGGCAGCGTTACTTTTACCACTGCCAGACTTGATAGTTTATCTTTGCTTGACGTTATTGCCCCTCCCCACATGTGGTCAATAATTCACTCACTGCTTCTGAGCTCACACACACACGCCTTGCCCCTTTCTGCCTCCCTGCCCCAGTATATCTTAGATAGTATTTATTTTAAGGCTCTACAGCATATCGCTTTCTGAGCACTAATTCTAAACCCCTGCCCCAATCCTATTTGCAGTGAAGTTTCTCTTGGACTCCCATATCCCGCTTCAGAAAGGTTTCAACATTGACCATCTTCTCTCTTCAATGGTCTTCCTGAATGTTCTTCATTTAGTCTGTCTCAGAAGGGATCCAGAGAAAAAAGACACCCAAGCCAAGCTCTGGCTAATCTCTCAGCTACTGAAAGCCCTACCCTAGTTCTGATATATCCTGCTATGTTCAAATTACTATTTTTCTATACCAAATTATATATTTCATTTAAAAGACTTCATTGTATGCCCCACATCCTCTGCTTCTCTAACTCCTTTATCTGCACTATCAAAGACAGAAACTCATTAGAATTATCTTACACTCAGCTCTGAAAAAAAAGTGATGCAAAAGCAGCTCCACCTACTACTGCATCTACTTCTGGTGGAGGCTTTGGTTCTTTTCTGTATTCTAGGCAATTTCTGCACTGTCATAATACACTTCCACAATTCGCCTATATCTCACATGCCTACATTTATTTCAAAATATATAAATTTTTCCATTGGATTAAGTTACTATAAAAACAAAATCTTTAAAAAAAATAAGAGATTAAGCTGATGGGTATGATTAATTTGGAAATCAGCTTCAAAACTACTTCACCGAGTTACATGTTTAGAGCCTGTGCGGAATTACACCTTATCCTAAATTTTGATACATTTCCACCCACCATTACACAATCAAACATCATCAGTGTGTGTTACTTCACACGTTATATTTTCTCCTAAGAGAATGGAATCAAACCACCCAGGATCCAGTCCTCCTACCCCTGCAGGGCTCAGTGGGTGTCAGCACACCGAAGACACTGACACAGACAATTGATCAAGAAGTTACAGATGAGAAGAGGCTTTCTTCTGCTAGGTTTCAAGACACAGTGCCAACCCCTCCTCTCCCCACCCCAAGCTACTTTCCCTTCCCATTGTCATGAAGATATCAATGACTTCTGCAACTAAAACCAATTCTGCATCTAAATCTGGAACAAAAATGACCTGGGGTCAGAGAAACCTCTGACTCTCAATTAACCGTTTCACACCTCCTTAATGCATTTCTTTCCAAAATGTTAGAGGCAGGGTCTGACCACAGTTATTTTAATTACAAATTAATAGTACTTGGCTTTTTAATGCTTTGATCAGCCAGAGCAATAGGCCTGTAATAGCCTTTCATTCTTGACTAACTGAAGTTAACACTTTCAGTTGGCAGAAAGAGTAAGTCGAGAACCATGCAGGTTTTTTTTGATGACTGAGGTCTAGCTTCTAAGAAACAAGTTTATGGCCAGGGTAAGTGCTGTAATTAACTACTCATGATAACAGCAAGAAGGTAACTTGAGAAGAACTGAGAGTGGACGAAACAGCACTAAAACTTTGGCAAATGATCCAAAACAAGGCCAAATAAAGAACCAAAACAGCTGTTCAGTTCAAGTTGCTCTACATATTTACTGCAACTTAGTACTAGCTTTGGAAAATTCCATTAAGAACAGAAAATTCTGTGTATTTCATTCAGGTATATACACAAGATCTAATTAATTTTAATTCTCTGTAAGAAGGAAAGTATCTCTTGGAACCTAGTAAGCTTGTGAGCATGCAAACCACAGAAATTACATATGCAGCAAGTAGATGAAGTCATTTTTTGTGCATGGAAAAAAATATGCTCTGTGTCAGACTGGGAGGAAGTGAAATGATGAGAACAGTTCTCTCCAAGTCTGTCAAAAGCAGAATTACACCTGGTAACTGGGAACAGCTATCTCTACAGCAGAAGAGACCTGCTACTGGATTAACATCTGTTATCAGGCCTTCAGCAGAGAAGCTCTGATAAAATTCTGTGATAGTGTTTCAGCAGTGATCACAGTGTGCTCTGGTTTCCCACAAATAATGTAATTAATACTTTCACTGCCTTTTGGTAATTTATATTGATAAAAATAGTATTAGACATCAGGAAAAAACTCTTCACCATAAGGGTACTGAGGCACTGGAATAGGTTGCCAAGGGAGGCTGTGGTAGCTCCCTCCCTGGAAGTGTTCAAGGCCAGGTTGGATGAGGCATGTGCAGCCTGGTCTGATGGGAGATGTCCCTGCTCACAGCAGGGAGGTTAGAACCTTTAAGGTTCCTTCCAACCTTAACCATTCTATGATTCCATGATTCTATGATTCTACTGAAAAAAAGTTTTAAAATACAAACTTTATTATCTGTATTCTAAATTCTGAAATATGGAAGAACACAGCAGAAATTCCAGCCTTCCAACCCAAAACATTCTATGATTCTATGAAATTACAAGAGATTTGCTTTCCTTTTTCCTGAAATTACAGGCATACAAGCTGAAACTTCAGAAATAACTTGATAGGGATTTGCTAATACATCACTTTCTCAGTAGGAAAGCTTCAGTAATCACATTTTTTCTCATATCACTTAAGCCTGTTTTAATTTAAACAGATAATACACCGTAACTCAAGGGTTTACCAGTGTAGTTTGATGACAACACTCCAGGAATGTGCTTTTTACCTTGACCTCCCTTGATGCCAATTAAGCCATCAGTCTCAAGCACAGGCTGCTGTTGCTAGCACTTCTAAGCTCCAGTAACATGTCCCAAGCCTGCACCCTGAGTCCTCTGCACCCCAGTACCTGACTCCCAGCCCTGCCCCTGACTCAGCACCTGCCTCCTCATTCACTAACCTGGTTTTAGCTTCCACACCCACTGAGGCAGTGGAGCTTGCAGACTCCTCGGATACTGAGCGCTGAAGGACTGGTGTTAGCTGCTTGGTGCTGTCCACTTCTGTTTGGGCATCCTCTTCTGCAGACTGCTCTTTGACTTCTGTTTAAAAAGCAAGAATAGTATTCACTTATTATTTTGTTTATTTATTTTGACTATAAAACCAGCTGTAAGCTGCAAAAGTTATGTTTTATTTATAGATAAATTAATGGCTGTAACTATGCTCACAGACACAAAGAAGTTTAAGCAGTAGAAACTATTATCCTTCATACTTAGCTAAAAAATGAAATGGAATGCTTATAAGTTATTTCCATACCACAGCACACCACTGTGAACTAAAGATGTTCAATAAGTAATGAGGAATGGGCAGAGGGAACATTGTTCAAAGACAACCTTCCATATGGTAGGTTCCAGTTTTAGACAATCTCAATCTCCTGCAACTCCTCTCCTCTTGTGCTCCTGCTCTATCATCCCTGAACAAATCTCAGGGCCAGCACACTAATGCGGGGTATAATAAACCTTTTTTTCCTCCCAAATCAGCTTTAACTTTGATCAGTTCTCTTAACTAGTTAATTCCTGATTACACTAACATAGAGTTGAGGAGGTGAAGGAAGGAAGGACACAGTTTACACCAGCTTGAGCTTCGTTCTGAACTGTAGGAATATACGCAATTTTTGCAGCATCCTTTTAATTTGGTTTGAGACAGAAAGATATACACCTTCAGCTGACAACATTACTATTTGCCTAAAAAGTCTGTTTCTGCTCAGAAATCTGAAACGCCAAGTTGCCACTGTCTGTGCAACTTAAATCCCTTTCCTCCTTGGTTCTCTCCTTCATATTGACTCAATGATCTGTCCAGAGGACACAGCAACATGCTGCTCCGAGTGCACAGGGACAAGGACATTTGGCATTTCTGCATTCCTCCATACATTGATTTTTGAAACTCAAATAACATAGAAATAACAGGATTCTGGCAAATATTCTAGGGCATATCCAGCTTAAGACACTGCTGCCTCCTGTCAGTGTCTACAACAGCTGCATTTGTCCCCACAGGAGGGCCAGACAAAGGACCTGAGCCTGGGTCATACACCTCCAAAAACTGCTGGTGAACCTGGCTTTGTTTGAGCTCAGTGCCCAATACACACAGCTCTTTCACAGGAGTCCAGTTACAGAGTCAAGCATCAGAATATTTGAAGAATTTAAGCAGAAGATTTTAAATAAATAAATAAATAATATACAACATGTCAAAAACACTTATTTGAGCTGGTGTAAAGTGGAATTGCTTTACCTATTTCAGTTAAACTACTCAGTAACATACATCTGAAATGTTTTTGGACCTCTGAAACACCAAAACATCACTACCTGTCTGAAAGACAAATGGCTTGTGTTAAAACCAGTCCACCAACTTATCCTGACAAAAAAGAAAAAAGAAAAAAAAAGAAAGAAAAAGCTGGACAATCATTTGACACTAAATATATTGCTGGGAATAATCTCTTGTAATAGTAAATGGCTCTGTGCTGAAAACAAAACAAACCAAAACCCTACACCCTTAGTTTTTGGTATGTCTGAACAAACAATCCCTGCAATCATTCCCAGACAAGGATTCCTGGAACAGGCAGTATCCAGCAGAGCCATTTATGATGGAACCTAGTGAGTTTTCAAAGTATGTTGCATCTCAAGGCTAATTTTGTGCAAGTAACCCTGAAATTATTAAGTACAGCTTCACGAAGAGCACAAAACATAAACACCTGTAAGCCAGACAGACGCCAAATTGCTAAAAACAAAACCCACAGCACAGCCCAGGACAACCACAGATTAAGTCCTCAAGGAAGATCACCAGAAAATGTAGCCTTGGTCTGATCCATCTTGGTGACTTTAGTTAACCCAGTTAAACTTTGGAAACAGAAGTCTGTTTTACTGTGTGCCTGCAGAAACTTCCAAGTAAGCAAAAGCCATTTACTTTTTGACAGCACTCATCTCATTATACATTAATGGGCACCATTACACTGGAAAGGGAAGTTCAAGGGCACTAACTCATTCTCAAGAACTCTGGACTGTGAGAGAAGACACAGATTGTTTCACTACACGCAAGGACTATACGAGCTTATATCCTTATGGTGCTTTTCCCCCCGCTGTTTGCTTCCCTACAAAAGAAGGGACCCAAATTATACTAAATGAGACAAACAACATCTCAACTGCTGTCTCTGCAATAAACCAAACTGTGTCTCAATATGCTGTTGGAAGGCTGAAAACATGGTGCTCACCAAACAGAATGATAATAGAATTTATGTTAGCTGTGTGTGCCATACTTCAACTCTGTTAAAATTCTCCAGAAGAAGATTAAGGAAGCAACACATTTCATGAGTCAAACTCCCAGGAGATGGGAGTCCAGCACCAGCAGGGCAAAGGGACAGTAGATACCCTCATTGTTGCCTCAGAGATGATTTTGGAAGCATCTGGCATCTACATTAACTGCTTTTCACTCTATTTCATGAGCGTTCATCAGACTTGGTTTTGGCACCCTACTTTGAATCTTCTGGGAATAAGGGAACTATGAATGATTAAAAAATGCGAAGCTGATTTGCAGATTCATGTAAGCTGCTTTACTTTACATCCTATTTTCACAACTGTTTCTGTCACAATGAAAACCTTACCCATGTATGATGAGTTTGTGAAGGAACTAAGAATTAATAAAGCTAATTGTGCAATTCTCAAATGTCTCTAAGTTGTTTGAGGGTTTTTATGCCATTATTCTTTACTAAAACATTAGGAAAATACTAGGAAACACAGCACTAAAAGCATTACTTTTTGAGGACAGTTATATCAATAGTTCTTCCCCACCTGACTGCTCAGGACAAAGGACTGAAAGGTCTTCTTTTCTTATCAAGGTTAAAGGAAATCCCCAAAAGTAGGAGTAAAGATCCTATCCACGTGGGACACCGTCTTCAAGGATGGAGATATAAATAGCAGCAAAACAACAAAAAAAGGCCTAATATAGATAGGGAATCACTGGGATTGATAAAATATACAGCACATGTATTAAGTTTCTCTTAATATTTAACACTTTCATCACATTTGTCTAAATAAGATGCATACACTGGGCTCTGGGTTGACATGACAGCCTTAGGTTTTGTAGCATTTAAGCAGTGATCTATAATTTTTCAAATGTGGAAAAAAAACTCTACAAAGTTTCCATATTTTTAGCATCCAAAAACCTCTTCATTATTGTTTTTATTCTTCTTCCTAGAGCAGAACAAAGACCCAATAACAAATACCACACACTATTCTCAGCTGATGATATGGATTACCCACCTTCATAATACTAGGTGGTCTCCTTACTTATATGTCTTACATAGACACTAATAACATTCAGAGTAACTGTGCTGATAATTTCCCCTTTTCCTGCTCTATCTTCAGAGGCCTTAGAAACCTCCCCCATGTAAGACACGTCTATGGGACATGCGGACTCACAGGTGGAGGCCTAAGTTTTTGTGAGCCCATCTGTGTCCATGGTTCCCCTGCAGACCCTCACATGCATGTGTGTGGGAAGGAGAGACTGGGGATGGCTGGAACTTTGTTACATGATCACAGAGTTCTTGGGTATGTGATGAAGCAAGAGTGATGGAGCAACACTGACTAAAGATCAAAAATGTTCTTTTGTTACAAACAATACTTTTTATGTATTTTAGTAATTGTGAGATGCTATTCTGCAACCACTGCAAGGGTAAAACTACAGCAAGATGAGGAGATTTATGTGTGGGCTCTGCTATGGCAACCAGGCAAAGAAAAGACACCACCATGTCCAAAAGATTTTGGGGTGTTTTGTTTTTTAAGTTAGAAGCTACTTTCCAAGTCAAAAACTGAAAAAACTGTAAGAGTTCTTCTATTAAAAAAACCCCACAACTACCTCCTTTAAAATCCTATAATATTCAGCATATAGTGACACTGGGGGGAAAAAATATCAATAGAGCTGTCAAAAACAAAGTAAATATTCTAGTGCTCTTCAGATAAAATGAGTTGACTGTTTAACCATTTTACAGAATGGGTCTCTAATGTCAGACCCACTGCTAATTTGACAGAAAACAAAGCAAATGTCATGAGCTTCTAAAACTTCCAGTAAGAACAGAAAGTATTGCAGGCTGGAAAATACCAGCATCACCAAACACAGCAGGGACATTCCAGGGGTCTCAACTGTTGCTTACTGTGATGTTCAGCTAGAGGTAATAACAACAAGTTTTTAACCAGCAGATGCAATTGTTATTTTTGCACAAGGAAGGGGCAGTGCTGTGTCAGAAATCAGCTAATGGGAGAAGGTGTTTTTCACATCCTCACTGGGGTCTAGGGAAGTACAAACAACACCAAAATGCTCCAGTTTCTAGTAGCTTAGACAGATAAAGAAACCAGGTCAAAGTAGCAACACTGTAGCAACAACCTGAACAGAAATTTTAACAAGGGAGTGTAAAAGATTAATTTTAAATGCCATCTAGTACTATAATTACCAAGCTTCACTCACTGTCCCAACTTAGGAAAAAAAACAAGTTTCCATTAGTCAGACTTTATAACTCTGTTACTCGTCAGGACACAATTTAATAGAAACATCATTTCTGCCACTGTCTGAGACACACAGGCTGCCACATACAGCAACCACTTCCATGCAGAAATCTTTCACATACTGTAATTTCGTATCACAGAATCACACAGAATCACAGAATAGGGGATATAGGGGTTGGAAGGGACCTCTGGAGATCATCTAGTCCAACCCCCTCCCGCTACAGTAGGATCCTCTAGAGCAGATCGCACAGGAACATGTCCAGCTCTCTCAACCTTTCTTCATCTGGTAGATGCTCCAGCTCCTTAATCACCTTAGTGGCCTGTGCTGGACTCTTTCCAGTAGTTCCTTGTCCTTCTTGAACTGGGGAGCTCAGAACTGCAGACAGTGCTCCAGGTGAGGCCTCACCAGTGCAGAGCAGAGGGGGAGGAGAACCTCCCTTGACCTGCTGGCCATGGTCTTCCTAATGCACTCGAGGATATATGTACAGGTGTGTATAGGAAGGTACAGCACGTATGAACACAAGGGAACAAGTGGGCATGCTGGTAACTGG